TTTTGAGTTTGTTTGTTGTTTGTTTTTTAAATCCCTTAGAAAACAAAAGCTACACATCTGTAAGAACAGAAGCTTTGTCTGTGATACAACTGCTGCTCACCAAACTGCAAGGTGAGCGTTTTTGCTTTCCACCTGGAAGAGCCACTGTTCAGTAAAAATGGTCTCTGGCTGTGTGGCCTGGAACCCTGGAGGGATGGCAGCACTAGGTGATTTTGGGGCAGTAGGGACTTGGGAGTTCTGTACGTGGTGACTTGGGAAACTTGGAGAGGGTTTGAAGTGTGGATAAAGTCAAGGTCCAGAGTACTGTTGGTTACTCCTTGAATGTATGGAAAATGTCCAGCAAGGAGGATCCTGGTGGAGCCCACAGGACCAAGTGTGTATTCAGATTCCATGTTATGTGTAAGCTTCATATATGGGACATCTCCTTTTTGTGCAGAAGAGTAATTTTTACCCTTTCAGTGCCAAGTTTAGTTCCTTATTGTTAGTTTAGGATTTCAGCCTTGCAGAATTCACTTCAGAGAATGAGACTACCTAAGTCTCAAGGTCATATATGTCTGCAGTTGTTCTGTAGCAAATATTTCCTTTGGATTTCTTTTCTGCACTTCATGTTGCCTGTAATCTGGCAAAAATATTAATACATTACATGAAGCAATTGTGAAGTGGGAAGCTTTTGGTTCTTCAGGCCCTTGTTTTCACATGTTGCAGTTAGACAAATCAAGCCTAGCCTAGATGGGCATGATTCCCTGTTCAGGGAGCTGCACATGCACCTGGTTGTCCAGCTGGATGTACCTCCTCAGTAGCCTTCTCCTGGAAGAGCAGTACAGACTGGAAGTGAAATGAAGCAGTCACTCTTTCAGCCTCTGTGGGCATAGGCATTTTGTTTTTTGGTTTTTTTTTGCATTCTGTTATTCATGTCCAGTGTCTGTCTGTACACAGCAGCTCAGCAGTGGGGAAGCCTGACACCAGAAAGCAGAGAGCGCCTCGTCCGTTCGTTGTCTACTATGGCGTCAGACAGCAGACCCGAGCTGCAGGAGAAGGCTTTTATATTGAAGAAAACACTTGAAAATCTTGAGTAAGTTGTACAACACAAACTACAAAGTGCCATGTAAAACAAAAACAAAAAAGTGCAGTGGTCTGAAAACTAAGTGGGAAAATGAAGATTACTCTGTAGCATGCAGCATTCCTGGCCAAAATAAAAAAATGCCTTAAATTCTTTTCCCCGTTAATGTTATTTTTACTCTTTTAAGCTGGTGGTTAGATATTTTACCAGTAAATACCTCTAACAGTCTGCCCTAGAATGTTTAAGTGTACAACATAAAAAATGTTGAGGGCAAGATACTTTTTTTCCTTTTTATTTAAATTGGCAAAAGAATGTTTTTGAGATCCCCTTTGTCCTTCAAAGGACCTGTTGGAAAACCACCAGCCCAGGAAGTGAAAAGCATATTTGATTTTTTCACTTCTGTCGTGTGTGGAGATGTGAGCTGGTGTCTAAACAGTAAATCTTTTGGACTCTGCAGTAGAGCTAGTGTTTGTTACCTAAAAAGAATGAAACCTTTCCCCCAGTGAAGCCAGTGTTGAACTCCTGTGGCTTCCCAAGGGCAGGGTTTCATCTGACGCCCACCTCTGCTTCTCCTGCTTGCTCCTCCCTTGGAGCCTGTTGCCTGTAAGTTATGAAAGGCAGAGTACTGTTAACTTTGCTCCTTCCTCCTTCTCTGACCTCAACATGGATTGACTGAGACTATGCCTTCCCCAGCTAACAACCTTGGCCTCCCAATCTTTAAATGAGAACTATTTTCCTCAAAGGATGCACAAGAGAGCACTTTACTGAGCTGTGTGGGACAAAGTTGGGCCTAGTTGGTGCCCAGGTGGAACACTGCTCTTCTCAAAATTGTTTTGCATGGACACTCCTCAGCTGCAGGAAAAAGAATATAGGAAAACAATCTTTTCTAGATATGTTTTTGAAGAGTGTTCGAAGTTTGCAATGACATGTTTTTTTAATAGTGGTAATGTTCTATTCCCTTCCTGTTCGTAACCCTGTTCTTGCTTTGAAAACCTGTAATGATTTAACTTGTCAATATTTGTAAGAAACTGAATCATCCATCATTTCTCAGCAGCCCAAGTCATGCTGGTTTCTAGCAAATACTTTTTAATTTGCACTTAAGAAGGAAGATTATATCTGCATTAATGTGGAGTAAAATTGCTATACTATGTGGCCATGCTGCCTGTCTCCTCTTTTTGCCCTCCTCAGATGAAAGACAAACCTGACCACTATAGCAACTGACTCTAAATAGTGTAAAGTTAGCACTGCACCGTAACCTGACCAGTATGTGTACAGCTTTTTGGGGATAAATGCTTTGCTGATGGTGAAATAAAATCTTTACTGTGAGCAATATCATGTCCATGGCTTTCAGCATAGGAAGGCTTGTTTCTTTTCTTATGGTCTGCAGCTCCTGTCAGATTTGACCTGTTAGGAAGGGGATTGTTCAGGTAACGCCGCATTTCCTCCATGTGCATTTATTCAGAATCAGGTATGCAGTACCTACTTTTCCCTCAGGTGCCAATTCCTGTTCAGTGTTTTCTGGTACTGTAACCATCTCATTGTCTGACTTGCTCTCCGTGGGAAGGGAGGAGTGTAACTCACTCGAGCACACCTGGTAAGAAAATGTCAGCAAGAAATGGGCAGAGCTGTCCCACTGTTGCTCTCATGTAGCAGAAACCTCAGCGAGCGCTATTGCATCGTACACTTGAACTGGTCAGTGGGCAACTCCTTGGTGCTGGGAGCTGGTGCTATAACGTTTTGATTTACACCTTGTTGCAGGGAGCTGCTCTTTGTTTACGCATAGTTTGAACTATTGAGCACAGTGTACATTTTAAATTTTACTGGGCAAACCACTTTGCAATATCTTTAAAAACTTGCTTACCATGACATGTAGTGTCATGAGTGCTCGGGTTTTTTTTTATTAGGTGAATATTACTAGTGATGCTTTGCAGTTGCAGTTCATTGTCTGACTTGGGTTTTTTTCATATTGGTGAGTGACAGTAACAGAAAAGCAAGAGCCTCTACTTCTCTGGTAATTTGAGTTCTCACTGTGGACTGGAGCATTCAGAGGCAATGCCTAATGTGGTCAAATGACTGTAAGTAGAATAACTGTAATAATTGTCAATAGCAACCTGAATTTCTCTACTGGGGATTTACACTAGAGGGAAGAGCATATTCTAGGAACTCTACAAACAGTTGGATTAACAACTGTGGCCAAGAGTGTTAGGAAGGTTAGAGATGGTATAATGCTTTCTGAATCACAAAGCAATATGTCTTTCTCATGATTACAGAGCAGATTCAGAGCTCCTCTCTAAAGCACGTGCCTATACACCAAACCTACCTGTACAAAAGTTAATCCAGTCAGAAGTTTGATGACTTCTACCCCCCTCACATTTGTAAACTTGACAGGATTTTAAAAAAATTAAAATAAAAAAAAAATGTGGCCTTCCTAGAGTTTTTCCTCTAAAAGTGATTGCACTATATAAAACACACTGTACTTTGCCCAGCGCGGGCATTTCTTGTGCTGCTGCAATGCTTTGTATACCTGGAGTGCAGTGCACAGACTTGATGCTGGCACTCACATTCTGACCTACAAGCTGTTGCTTAAATGGATGTATACTGAGAAGTTTTCTAATGTTGCAAGATCTCCGTCAACTTCACTGCAATCTGTACTGTCCAACTATGTGAGTGGTCTGACTGAAAGAAAACCCTCCTGCTTACCAAAAAGGTAAAATTAAATAAAAGCTGCATGACCTGTTCTTTGAAGTGACTGGTAGTGGTTTTTTTACCTCCCACCACAAGTATTTTACAGTAAAATACAGGTGCACTTTGTGTGCATATCTGCCTGTCCTCAGGGTGTGGTGTCAGCTTTTCAGAGTGAAGGTGGCCAGTGTCCAGTTAGGAGGAGCTCTGTGCATTTGGGTTTTAAACCAACAGCTTGGTCTCTTGCATCCAGGCAGGGTTATGGGGGTTTATATGTATATAAAATTAAAATTATATCCTTTAAATCTGTGATTCTAGATACATATATATGGCCATGAGATTGAAAATGCATTTAAATTATATTTAAGAGCTTCACATTTCCAAACTATTCCAGACATGGACACTTTCCCCTTCATCCCCAAAGTAGCCTCAATTAAAATTAATTACCATTTTCTAAATGGTATTCTGGAGTTAGGAGAAAAAAGCAAAATCAGCTACAGGGAAGCAAGTAAGCAGTTAGCTAGTGAGTGGCTGAAGCATCATGTATCAAGTTGAAGATGTTCCCTAAATATGGTGCCTTGCCACTGCTCCGTGGCACTGAGGGTGCTCTGCATCCCTCTCCTGTGCTCCTCCTCCAGCTGTGAACAGCTGTGGGCTGTGACCACACACACGTTTCTGCCCTCTGGGCACGAGCTGCACAGACATGAAGGCAGCTAGTAAGGAGGGACAAGGGAAATGGCAGAATAAAGACACATCAGAATGTGTAAATTTGATTATGACCATCCATGTCTGCAAATACTTAGGTTTTTCTCTTACCCCTGTTTAGAGGACAGAAATAAATAATCCAACATTGAGAAATAAAGCAGGAAGTTAAAAAATGAATGTGAAAGAAAGCACACCATCAAGTTATGTAGTTTAAAACTTTACTGGCAAAACTTTTAGTACAAATAATTTAGGAGTTAAAAACAATGAAAGAAGCTTAAACGCTGGTATGCCATTGTATTCTGGTGTTTGACAACAGACCAAGACAGCGTTTACAATTTGCAGCAGGTTTTCTGAATGCTGTGAACACGGCAAGTCAAACTCCATTTTCCTCATTCAGTTGCCACAGCTCCTGGGGAGCTTGCAGAGCTCCTGCCAGCAAGAGGAACGAACACAGCTACTTCCCCTAATATTTTTCTATGAATAGCAATGCTACGAATTTCTTATGCAGAAAATAGCTAGAGAGTGGGAACACAGAACACTCAACAACATCCTGCTACTCCTTTTGTGGGAGTGGACAAGCTTTCTGTTTCTCCAGGCACTCCTGTACTTTCCGGCGTTTTGCGAGGGGAGGTGAAGCTGCCAGGGGCGGTGCAGCATTTTTGCGCTGAAACTGCTGGTATCTTGTAACAGTGGATACACCGTCCACAAACTTGGTCTTGTAGAGGACATTTGCATTGTTAAACATTCCATCCTTCAAGGACACCACAATAAACTAAAACAAACCAGAAAGCTTAAGGTAAAATCCAAACAAAGACTTTAAACAACACTGGAAAGGGCTTCTAAAAATAGGATTAATTTATTTTATTTGGCTAATATCTGCGTGGTAATTCTTCTCAAAAAATACTCTGGAAGTAACTGAAACCAACAGAATGTGCTAGGCAGGTTCACCCACAGGCCAGGCATTTTCTGCAGCTAACAGTATGGCTGTGCCCATATCCCAGCACATGGGCCACAACATGGAATGCTTGCTCATGGTTAATTGGTCACTGGAAAAGACGTTGCCACAGGTTTTAGAGGAAGGCAGGATCTATGTGTACGTATATGTGTGTGTATATATATATTATACGCTAAAGATACTGCTCAAATTACTTACAATATAAAATACACAATAACAAATGTTCCTGTCCCCTCTCAAAATGTGGGAAGATTATGTCCTATTACCAAACAGGCATAGGTACTGCCTTTCCCTCAGAATGGTAAGTTTCTTTAGTCTCACAGATTTTTTTAATGCATAAGACCACAGCGATAACAGAGATTCTTTCCACTAGCACCTGGCTTATTTCAGTGGGGTATTCTTCCCTATTACTACCTGTTTTTTAAACACTGCAGCAATGTGTTACATTAAAATCTGAAGTTTCACAGTTGCCATTATCATGAACATAACCTCCCACTGAAAGAAATACAACACACATCAATGGAACAACACACTTGAACAGCTGAGACTCTTCAGTGGCAGGCAGCATCTGTACAGAGCCAAGTACAAAATAGATGACTGCAACAGTTTCAAGATCATACCTGGGAGTGTCTGAAATGAGCATGAAGCATCTGCCCAATATTCTGGGTGTGAGAGAGATCAAGAGCTGCATCCACTTCATCCAAGATATAAATTGGGGCAGGTTTGAAGAGAAGCATGGATAAGATCAAGGACAAGGCCACCAATGATCTAATGCAGAGAACAAGAAAGTTAGGGTTTATCCTCTTGTTTGAGAGGCTTGGGCTGTTTGGTAGTAAGAAAATACTCTTTCAAAAGCAGATGCATGCTATGAATTATGAAGAGACAGAATGACAGCTTCTGCCACAACTTCTAATTTCAAACCTTTCTGCCAGATATGGCAAATGTTGCTCTTTTTACTGTAAGATCAGGCTAGTTGAGTGATGATATTTAAATCATGCTATTGCTTTTCCTATTTTCAATTCTAAGTTTTGCAGTGCTGTTTTTCCAAGTACAGTTCTTGAAGCATTCTGTCCCTCAGGATGTCTGTATCTTTGTCTCACCTCTTCCTAAAGTTTGTTTCTACTTTCCAATTTGTTAATTTTTCTAAACAAAGAAGCACATGCCCTACATGCCATCACCGGAGAAGAAAACTGTCATGCTGACACTGCTTTGACACAGGGGCAGAACTTGCCTGTCTAGATTTTTGAGATTACAACACATTTTTGACATCAACGGCTGAGGCATTTAATTGACCAGTTCCTCAGTACTCCCTAGAATTAAGTGCTGTTTTCTCACCACACAGTTAATTTTTGTCACTACTCCATGGAAGAAAATTCTGTTACCATGTCAAGCAACGCATTGCTGTAAGCTGAATTCCTCTTTGAGCTGAACTGAATTAATAATGCTTTCAATGTTAAGTCACTTGAGTTCCTGACCTGACTTAGGGAAAAGATAAAATTCTTGCTTTTCTAAACTCTTAATTAGGTAGGCCTATCAATGGAAAACAAATTAAAACCCCACAAAGTTCACCAACCTTTGTCCTCCGCTAAGTTCTGTTAAGTCTTCCTTCCAGGTCTCTCCTAGGGCAACTCTGAACTCCAGACCATCCAAGATACTTCGGGATTTAAAAGGTACTAGCATAGCTCTGGCTCCTGGTAGAAGCGTGGAGAAAATTGAACCAAAGTCTTCGTTCACCTAGAAGTCAGACCATGACAGACATATGTATGTGCTTTCAATCGAGCACAAACAACTCAGGTAAGCTGCACTACCCTCTAGGTACAATGTCCAGTTTAACCCAGTGACTCCTTATGTCTTGAAGATCAGCACATACTGCACAGTGAGCAAATACTAGTGTATGAAATCACTGTACTGAAAAGAGAAGGAACACCAAGGGATACATATGTAGGACACCTTACACTAAGCATTTTAGAAGGTTCAAACAAAAGCAATATTGGAACGCTTCTTCATGCTGTCAGCTAGGGAAACAACTAGGCCCTACGGCAGATTTACAAACTGGTAAATTGTAATTTCTTCAAATTAAAGGACTATTAAAAATCTAACCACTTTGTAAGAGGCACACACTTGGCATCCTCCCCACTCTGTTTTTTCTCAGGGTTACTTAAGCAATGTCCAGGTATTGGATGAGATCCAACTTTGTAAATGTAGATTAAAATTTCCTAGCATCAAGGAACACATGTGAGAATGCACTTATTCCACCACCAATTATGCTTTAAAATATAATTCACTCATTTTTGGCAAACAAGATTTTGTAATTAAAAGTTCCTGTTTTGACAGTGATATCTTCAGTACAGGCAGTAATGACTAAAACCAATGCTTTGTTAATGTGCAGTCTATCTTAGATATAGTTGATCTTCTCAAACTTAAAAAAGTACAGGTTCTCCTGGTACAGCAAAAAATAATGTATCAAGGGATTTCCACGTAGGAAGTGAAAATGTTACGCTTTTGTTATAGTACACAATATGACAGAACTAGCAGTAAGAGGGCAGAGTGGTTAGATACCATAAACAGATCAGCTGCTGCTCTGTTCCACTACTGCCTATCCCGTTAGTGATAAGAACAGTAGCCCAGGTCCACAATCCCACATTGTACAGGGCTACACAGAACTGAGAGTTTGTACCTTTGGTCAAATACTGACTTAAGCAAAAAAAAGAAAAATGGACGGTATCACTGTTTTGTCCAACTTCCATGTGACAGCATGGTTTTGGCATGTCAGGAACTTAACCTTGCTTAAGTTTTTGCAGGTGCTAAATGGGAATGGGTAAAGTAGTTTTGCAGGTTTAACTGTGACTTTACAATTCTCAGAGAATTTCTGTCTTACTCTCAAAAATGAGATGAACTAGGAGCAATGACATTATTGTTTTGTAATTTAAATACTGGGCAAGGGAGATGAGTTCCAGAAAGAGACCTTTTTTTTTTTTTTTTTTTTTTCCATGGGAATAGGCAAAACAGTAATACAAGATAAATCTGATACTCTGCTAAAATGTGAAGACTAGGTATCAAGTGTCATACCTTTTTCCAAGCAATATTTAAAGCTTCAGTTTTCTTATGGTCAAGCTCTTTAATAGCTGCAAGAATTTTTGTCTTGTCATTCTCGACAATTCTTTTTTTCTTCATTAAGTCGTTGTACTGGTGCAATGAGAAGAAAAGATTTATTTCCATGAACTGTGTGCTGAAATACATTTTAGTTTCACTGTCATTTTTGCAACCATGAAATAGCCATTAACCACGAGACTGAAATCCAGAGCGTTCATTTAACTGTATGCAGGACTTAACTTTTATAATATTACTTGCGAAGTAAAGCATTAAAATTTTCAACAGTTGACAAAGGAGATGACCCACATTAGTCTGAAAGTTCTTCCTCTTCAAGTTAAATCATTCCAATTTACCTTTCCAGAGAAGAAAGGATGCTTCTGGAGGCTGACAGGAAGAACAGGCTACTTCTAATTGTGAAACAGTACTAGAAAGCTGAAGTGTCAGTCACTGGACAGTTTTGAGACAATCCTTGAAAAGCCTCAAGATACAGCTAAATTTGACACAACTCTGAACACCTTCAAGCTATTAGGCTTCAAAGTGAACTAGTTTTTCATCTGCAATCTTTGGTAAAGTATATAATGCTCAGATCCTGTAATGAATACCACAAATCTTGTCTAATGTTGTTCCTGCCAGCTTTGGATGGACTGGGGTAGGGAGTAATTAAATTTATCATCATTCCAAGTCAAGATAATGCATAACCTAGAAATCTAGTGCACAAGTGAATTGTTAAAAAATATGGGATTAGTATAAAAGATCTAACAAAAGGTTTCCTGCTATCTAATGAAGAGCTAGTTATGGTTTTGGTGTATTCAGAAATAAAACATAGAGAAATTTAAAGCTATGTTATACATAATACCACATACACCACCTGCCCAATCTTTACATGTTAAAACATAGAATATGTTTACCCTCTCCTCTGTCTCAGCAAGCATAGTCATAGCTCTCATGTTCACATTCCTTCCCAGCTTCTCTTTTTTCTCCTGCATCATCTTCAGCTTCTGAACTGCTTCTTTAGGATTGTTAGATTTGAAGTCATAGGCTGTGTTTGGCTGACCAAATAACTGTTTTTCTGTAGCTATCCACTCATACTCTTTCAGCATTTTGGTCACCTGTAAACAAGAAGATATCTTGAGGTACTTTTTTCCTGCCTTCTAAAATGTGAATGAAAAAAAAATAATTATGAAAAAATCAATGCCCTGAAATTACAACATTCATTTTTCTATCCCAACACAGTACAGGTAAGTACCTTTACAATACTTCATGTGATTACCGAGACTGTAGATGAACCTAGATTTTAAGAGCACTTCCACATCACATTTATTTGGAACATGTGTTTCTACATCAAAAATAAGCTACTGTCACCAAATCTCAGGATTAGCTTCTTTAAGTAGTTACCTACTTTGTCCATACAGTCAGAATGTTCTCACTATGATCTACTAGTCTATAGTATAGTCTCTACTAGTCTATACCAATAAGCTCTGTTACAATCGACAGTTTCTACCCCCTCCTCCTGGGAAAAAACTTTCCATGTCAAGAGCTGCAAATATGACACTGCTTTTTAAGTAAAAAGGCTATTTCCTTTGCATGTCACAAGGGAAATAACCACTCTCGGTCACAAGATGCAAGGAAAAGGACAGTTCCAAAATACCTTGGCAGCGGCATCTGCAGCCTCTTGTTGATGTTTGCTGATGTTGTGTTCTAATTCTTTAACCTTAAGCTGTAATTCGTTATTTAGTTCTTTGCATTTTGCTATCTCTGCAGATCGGGCTTTAATTGCTTTATCCTGTAACAGAATTGCTTCCTTTTGCTTGGCCAGCTCCTTCTCTGATTTCTCTACAGATTCCTGAAAAAGAAACCAAATTACCACTTACTAGTTCTTTTAAAGTCTAGTGCTAGACAATTGTTAAAAAAGAAGGACACAACAAGGAAGGAGGAAAAAATTCATGCAGTAACAAGCCGAAAAAAACTACCCAGACTGAACATAATTGAGTTCTGGCAAGAGATACACGTTGTAATCTGAGCTTTAGAGAATCATATGTTTGGTAACATCAAAACAGATAAAGAAACACATTATTCACTTTTACCTTTGTCTTAGACACCTCAACTGCCATAGCATCAACTTGCTTATGGTAGGATTTGATTGCTTCATCTGCAGCTGCTATCTGTTGTTTACAGGAGTCGTGTTCCTGTTTTAGCTCTTCAAGTTCCAGAATTAAAGCTTCAACTTCCTACAGAAATGTTTTCAAATGTATTACACTTTAAATAGAAAGAACGAAGATTTTGACATAGAAAATGCTGTAGAAGTCTAACAGTACCCATCCTTCAGCAATGGGGCAAACTCCCAAAAAAACCCCAAACCAAACCATCAATGATTTCTATGTTAGGGACTACAGAATAATATAGTAAGTTCCAAAACTGTCTATTTTAAAACTTAAGGAGAATCAAACTTTCTGATTGCTGCAGCTGCTTTTAAGTGCTAAGCACTATTAAAATTGTCAACAAGGTTAAGCTTTACCTGCTGCTTTTCTTTCATTTTTTTGCTTGAAGCGTCTGCTTTTTGCTTGGCACTATCCAGTTTCTGCTGTGCATTTTTTAGTTCTTTTTCAGACTCTGCTGCTGCATTTTTCATTTTATGCTCTAATACCTTGTATTTATCTTCTGCTTTCTTTTGGCTCTCTTCACTTCTCTTCAATGTCTCTTCACACTCAGCTGAATTAAGAAGTACAGTACTGAGACTAGGCATTGTTCTTATGTTGACATTTACACCCTGAACTCCAACGGAAATAAATTAATCTTTTCTTCCAACAGAAAAAAGTGGTTCCAATGTTTGCTAGTTACTGAAAGCAGCTCTTTCAGTAACCGTTGTTACCAGTTATCGGTAGGGCAACCAGTCTATAAAATTAAGGGAAACAAGCTTCTATTTTTTTTTTTGCCTTTTTTGTTTTTTATTTTTACAAGGCAACTATATGCCAAATCATATGATAGAGAATTAATTAATCAGATAAGATATTAATAAGGTATCACCTACTCACTAGAATACTATGTCAACATGTGTGACTTCTGTCCGTTTTTTTTCTTGAAATGTTTTACTTATTGATACATTTTTTTCCTTTTACATTTTTCCTTAGCTATATGAACAGCACTTCTTGTTACTCAACCTATAATACTAACCTTAAATATCTACAAAAAGAGATCGCTTGGAAAAAACAAGGATTAAATCCATTGTTAAATTTCCCTGCAAAGTCGTTTCTCCTTTTACAATAAAGTACATAAAGCACTTTTTAAGAACATAACATTTACTACAAGTGAATGACCAACCTTATGTGAATCACCTCCATGCAAATGTACTGTGATTCTGTATTTGTTGCATATTCCAAAATATAAAGGTAGTATTTTCAAAGCTGAAAACATTTTTTCCTTCAGCAAAGATTCTGCTACTCAAACTCCAATAAGACATCTTACTCTCAGCAATCAGTTAAAAGATTAAAAACACATTTGTCACCAATGGTTTTCTTCAGGGCAAGCAGCTCTTCCTCTTGTTTGTGGTAAGCACTTTGGTGGAGCTTGGTTTGCAACAGCTCTACTTCCTCAGACTTCATCTCCCATTGCTGTTTCAGTTGCTGGTACCTTTGCAGACAACGACATACACTGGTATAACAAGGGCACTCACCACTTCCATTTGAAAGTTGAAATAAGTACAGAAAGAAACATGTCTATTCCCACTCTAGTGTGAGAGACAATGAAGACTGTAGGAAACATAAACTTAAATGCATGGAAATCTGATACAGTTTCTTTAAGAGCAACCATGAAGTTTTTAGGTATGTAAGTTACTGCGTATAACTCCTCGTTCTGAAGCTCCAATAAGGTATATTAAAAAGTAACAAAAGCAACACCTGGAATTTAAAAACAACTCAGAGCTCATGTTTTTCCAAACAGCAGCATGACAGATTCTTCCTTTTGGTCATACTTCTGCAAGTCTGTTACAACTCAAAACAATTTGAAAAATAAATCCAGTTGGTAGATAGCACATTACACAACACCACCTGCTTATGGAATTTTTAGAGAACTGACTAAACATATTTTTGTATTCCATCTTATACTTCAGCAACTGAGTAGCTGAAAATCAAATATACTTAAAATTATTATTTACATCCTTACAGTATACAGTAGTAGTACAGATACAGTAATATCACTGAAATACTCCCCTTTTGCTTGTTGATTGATGAGAGAGGGAGGAAGGGAATAATTTTCTGTAATTACATTCTCAACAAGCCCTGTGCCCTCCAAAAATACTTATTTATATTACATGTACTCAGTCACATAAGAGAGATGATAACTATTTTACAGGGCAAAACGTACTTTTCGGCAACACTCTTCAAGGTTGCGAGCTCCTTCTCGACAGTTTCCAGTTCAGACTCCTTTGTCTTGAGTTGTACTTCAATGTCTTTAATTTCTTGAAGTTTAGACAATATTGGTGCAGCCTGTGAGCAAGCACCTGTTCAGTGAAAAAACCAAAAGCAAAGTCAAGCTAACTGAAACTAGGAATGGATTCCCTAGTGGCAAACAGCAAACTTTACATGTTAATAATGAGAAATGTTGATGATTATTTCAGTTACCAAACAGAAGACTGCTAGGTGAAAGTTACAGCTCTGTGGAGAAAGACTTACCTTTTCTGTTACATAATTTAGTTCTGCAGACTTTGAGTACTTTGAATACTACATGTGCATTTCTTGTGAAATCAACTAATTTTCCCAATATATTAATTTACCTCAAATTTATTATTAATTACTTAAAAAAATGCTTGAATTCAAAGCATTTCTCTAAGAGGTTTTTATAGCCGAGTAAGATTTAAGTATTTAAAAGCTAAACTACTTTATGCAAATAGTTTGCCATTAATTTTTTTAATCTGATACATTTTATTTCAGCTCAAGACAAGTCTTTACTCTAGCAGATTGTATTATCCCCAGTATGAGTCTAAACAAAAAGTTTACTGTTCATTTTTATAAAAATAACAGAGTGGCAGACAAATCAACAGCCACACAATATTATTATATGAATAAAACCAGCACTTGCCTCCATGCAGAGTGCCCTGGGGGTCAAACACATCTCCATCAACTGTGACACTTCTTGTCATTATCCTTTTGTCAAAGGTCACTTTCTTAGCATTATCCATGTTATTACAGATCAGTGTTGTTCCAAAGACATATTCCATTGCTTTCTGCAGTTCAGGTTCATATCCAACCAGAGAAAGGGCTAAATGTGAGTTATCAGGACCAGCCTAAAAATCAAATTAAATGCAATTAGTATGCCTTAAGCTAAAATTTAAAAAATTTGTCTTTTGTCAACAAAAACTTTCTAAAAATTTAAAACCATTTCAAAGGGGAATAATTAATATCCATCTAAACATCACATCGCTGAGAGAATACAAAGGAAAAACATGAAAGCAAGATACCTTCAAACCCTATAGAAATTCATACTAGTATAACCACTAAGAAGCCCTAGTTTTTTAGCAAAGAAAACAAATTAAAAGCAAGCAAAATTCTGTAAGTAGTGTATTTGTTTACGTACCAAGGTTTGGGCCAACTTAACAATGTCTTGTCCAACACACCTGGCTGAAATTTTGTTCAGTGGAATGATTGTGTATCGACGCTTCAGTTCACCCTTCTCCAAAAGCTTTTTGCCAGTAACCTGAAACAAGAGTTACAAACCATGCCTGAATACATAGCTGATTTTGTAAAGACAGACAGTAGGGCACTGTAAGAGGGATACATTGTTGCCAGGAGCCATGCATGACTTTCTTGACCTAATTTAAGCATGTACATGGCTCCAAACCACCTCTTAAGCATTCACAGTGTTGTTCTGGTTGGAAATGCTTGCTAACCTGAGTTACATGATCTCAACATCCCAAGTTCTGTCGTAAAGCAATAAACATACCTCTGTGTCCACAATAACGTTATAGAGTTTCCCTCCAGCCACTGCTTCTAGGGCTTTTGCTTTGGATAGATCTTTCACAGTGATAAGAGATGCAACAAGGCCTTTCACATGGTTTGGATCCCAATTTTTTTCTGGATCTCTTAAAAATAAATTTAAATTACGATCATAAAATATTAGTTTCTCTCCTACCCATCTTAAAAAAATTACATTTAAAACCACCTACTTCTTATTATATTGATATATGAATTTCTAAAATCTATTAGGAAAAAAACCAAACACAACAAACCAAACCACAGAAAAATGTTTAAATTAAAAACTTCAGGGCATGAGACTTTCCAGTAGTCATTTCCAAGTCAGAAGAATGTCCTTCCTGATTTTGGTATAATTTGGTCACCTAATTTTCAACTGATCAATACTATGGGTTCTACTATGAGAACTGCTGTAGGAATATGTTCAGACTGACAATTACATAACCAAAAAAATCTGAGGATACACACATTTATTTCATTTGTGGAGACAAATACATTGTTGATCTCCGTGGAGCAAGTTACTCACAGTCCTCAAGCAGGACTCTGAAAAGTAATTATCAGATTTTTATAGTTTAGATCTTTGGATTCTATAGTTTCAGCTACTGTAGTTGAGTTATGGCTTGCAAACACCATCATACAAAACTTTTAATTTTCAGACATTTTATAAGACTGCAATTTAAGAATGACTGTATCACTTTGCCTGCTGTCCATTAATTCAATTAACATTTCCGGACTTTCTCCCTTCACTGGCATCACAGGTAAGATACTAATTTATTAAATGGCAGTAAAAGGAAAGCAACAGCTAAGCAATTAATAGAATTATCCTCTAAGTCTCATAAGCCACACATAAAATACCCCAAAAAACACTTTCAAATGTCCTTTATGATCACACTGAGGTCTTACTTGTACTCAAATTGTAGATGAGGAAACTTTGCCACTAAGCCTTCATACAGTTCTCTCAGTTGGCTGATCTCACGAGTCAATGCCTTCTTTTTTGCTAAAAGGGCTTCTTCTTTCTCTTCTTCAGAGTTGAACATAAAACAGTAAACATCAAGAGCACAGAAATGTATTAGCTTAAAAATCACAAGCAGGACTTGCCTTTCCTGGACCCATGCTGTCTGGGCCTGATCCCCTGGCTGTCCTGCACCTGTCACGTGAGCACACGCAAGATCTTCATGATTTTTCCTGGTATCAAGGTCAGGCTGATAGGCCTGTAGTTCCCCAGATCCTCCTCCCAGCCCTTTTGTAGCTGGGTGTCACATTAGCCACCCTTCAGTCATCTGGGACCTCCCCTGTTGACCAGGACTGTTGTTAATAATGGAGAGAGACTTAATGAGCTCCTCCACCAGCTCCCTCAGTACTCTTGGGTGGATCCCACCTGGCTCCATGGAGTTTTAAGTGTCCAGGTGCCATAGCAAGTCCTTAACTACTTCCTCCTGGATTACTGGGGGGTTGTTCTGCTCTCTGTCCTTATCTTCCAGCTCAGGAAGCTGAATACCCTGGGGGGGGCTGGTCTGACTATTAAAGATGGAGGCAAAGAAGGTACTAAGTACCTCAGCCTTTTCCTCATCCTTGGTTGCAATGTTCCCTTGCATCCAGTAAGGGATGGAGATTCTCCCTGGCTCTCTTTTTATCGTTGATGTATTTGTAAATATTTTTTTTTTGCTATCCCTTATGACAGTAGCCAAGCTGGACTCTAACTGGGCTTCTGCCTCTCCAGTTTTCTCTCTGTATGACCGAACAAGATTCCTGTACTCCTCTTGAGTTGCCTGCCCCTTCTTCCAAAGGTGGTTAACCCTCCTTTTTTTTTTTTTTTCCCCTAAGTCGCAGCAAAAGCTCCCTGTTCAGCCAGGTTGGTCATCTTCCCCTCTATTTAATCTTACAACACATGGGGACAGACTGTTCCTTTAAGCATTAAGATTTCCTTCTTGAAGAGCATCCAGCCTTCCTGGACCCCTTTGTCCTTCAGAACTGTCTCCCAAGGGACTCCCTCAACCAATGTCCTAAACAGGCTGAAGTCTGCCCTCAAGAAGTCATAGAATCATCCTGGTTGGAAGGGACCTTGAAGATCATAAAGTTCAACCATAACCTAAATACCCCTACCCATTCTGTTCTTAAATCATGTCACTAAGCACTACATATTTATTTTAAACATTTCCAGGGAAGGTGACTCTACCACCTCCTTAGAGGAGGTTTTGCTGACCCCTCTCCTTACTTCACTAAGAATCAAGAACTTCACCGTTTCATGGTTGCTAAGCCCAAGACAACCTCTGACCACTGCATCTGCCAACATTCCTGTTTGTAAACAGCAGGTCTAGAGAAGCACCTCCCCTGGCAGGTTCACCAGCTGTACCAGAAAGATATCTTACACACATTTGAGGAACCTTTTAGCCTGTCTACTCTCTGCTGTGTTGCATTTCTAGCAGATGCTCAGTAGGCTGAAAACCCCTACCAGAACAAGGGCTGGTATTTCCAAACTTCTGCCTGCCACTGTCTGCTTCCTCATCCTGGTTGGGTGCTCTACAACAGACTCCCAACAAGATATCCACCTTATTCATGTTCCCCATTACCCTTACTCATAAATGCTCAACCCTATTACCACTGCCCTCTACACAATCAAAACACACCCTAACATACAGAGCCACCCACTGCCTCTCCTTCCCTGCCTATCCCTTCTGAACAGCTTAGAGCAGCCATTGCAGCCTTCTAGTCATTACAACCATCATAATAACAAACATGCAAAGAAAAAGTTTAAAATCTAATGTTTTTCTCTGAATGTCATTCTGGAATACCAACATACAACTTGAGTAGCTTTTGCAACAAATGTTCCATGGAATGAGATGAGCTTTTAAGAAGTGTAGACAAAAACAGGAAGGAATACGGAAGTGGGCCACTTTATCCATCTACCACTGGGTCTGGCTGAGATGTGCTAAACTTTCCCCATAGCAGCCCATAGAATGCTCTGCTTTGTATTTCTAGACAATGGTGTTGATAATACAACAGTGTTCTGGCTATTGCTGGGCAGTGCTCCCACAGTATCCAGGCTATCCCTTCAACTCCTGCTTCAAAAGCCAGTAGGCTGGGGGTGGGCAAGAGGCTGGGAGGGCACAGAGCCAAGACAGCTGAGCCAAGTGATATTATTCCATGCTGTGGGATGACTAATGAAAGTGTGTCCTGGTTTTAGCCAGGATAGAAACAATTTCCTTTCTAGTCATTTTACTTTTCAGTTAAGTCTCTTCTAAGTAGCCACACTTGCTGAAATTCACGGCATCTTTTCAGGCAGTGTCTGCTCCTAAGACTTACAAAGCTCAATGTTTTAGTTACAGCTGGAGAATGACATGCAGAACCAATGCTGCTGCTTGGATCTGAGAAAACCTCTCATGCTGTTCATTTAATCGCCTGCCCAGCATTAGCCCATGACAAGATGATTTACAAATCACATCTATATTCACCTTTTGAGGGAAGGCACAAAATTAACAGAACCTTTAGAGCAGAATGTAGCCAACATGCAGAGTCTGTACCACAGTAATTCCCCAGGCAACCCTATTTTTTTGGAACATCTGGGGAACTTGGTGTGATGACTCAAAAGACACCAGCATGGAGGGTGGGGTGGAGACACCACAGCCAGGCTCTGTGGTAAACCTGAAGGTACTATGGAACTGGTAAGCTGCACATTTGGACACAGCATGGCTAAACTTTCAAATAACATGGGGATCTGAAAGTCCCCTAGACCTGACAAGTCATATATTTGATACCCTTGGCCAAAAATCTGTCACTCTTTTGACAAATGACTGTGATTTAGTGTCTTTTGCTCATTATAATCTCATTTTAACACTAAAACATAACTCCATCCCAAAAGCCACCCACCTCTCAAGGGATGACCACGTCCCAATGAGCACATGCCCTGAATTTTCTCTAGTCTATACCTTTAACAGCAAGAGAATTTTACATCAATCATGACAAAGGTCTGTATGTCTAGAGTCCCTCAAGCTCCACCTGTAAGACAAGAACCCCATAAAAATGGCCGAAGAGGGCAGGAATGTCAGAAAAGATAACATCACCAGGCCTTTGCCAGGACTGCCCTTGACTCTGGGATCAGTCGACAGGCCTAGCCTCTCTTCCCCCAAAGGGAGGCCTGAACACTCAGTTATGCTGAGATCACACTGGGAAACTTAGAAACCTTCTTAGAATTCCCTCTTTCCTTTATTTTTCCTTATTTTTTATTTTCTCTTTCTTTCTTATCACTTCACACATTAGTAGCCAGGCTTGGTATTTGCACCTGCTTTGTAGTCAGCTAGTTTATCACCAGCAAGCCAAAGAACTTGTGTACCTGTTGCCTCAATAAATCGCAGTGTTGTTTGACTTGGCCAGAGTGTTGTCCCTGAATGTGGACCAAAGCTCTTGAGTGTGGCTGTGCTAGTTCAGGCAGGGTGTGGCTGGGCAGGGGGTGTGATGTTAGCAGTGCATCTGGACCCACAGGAGTCCAACAGAGGTGTTGGGTGCCACCAGACCACTCACACTGATTGGGGCATCACTCAGAAACTAATCTCAGACACTCCCAGTCCCTCCGATATCTGAGGACTGGCTGGAACACCACAGGGTCTAGTTCCTGCCAAATTATTTTAGCCCTTTTGTAGCACGACACATCATGTGAAGAAGTGCTCAGCAGTAAACGCTAAGAGAAAGGAGGAAGGGAGGGGGTATTCATTAAGATGTTTGTTTTCTAGACCAGCCACAATATGTACTGAGGCCCTACTTCTGAGGTCTGGACATCACCTGCCAATGGGAAGCAGAGAGTAAATGTTTTTGTTTTCCTTTGCTTCTGTGTCTGACAGAGCCAGCTCCAGCCTCCTCCAAGTCAGACACAAAGCTGGCCAAGGTCAAGCCCTCCAGTGATGGTAGAAGCTCCTCTGGGAATAACATATTTGAGAAGGGGAGAAAACAGCTGCACAACAACTGGGGAGAGGGATGAGAATATATGACAGAAAAAAGTCTGCAGTCACCAAAGTCAATGAAAGAGGGGGCAGGTGTTCCAGGAGCTGGAGCAGGGATTCTCCTGCAGTGTCTGGAGAAGACCACAGTGAAGCAGGCTGTCTTCCTGCAGCCCACGGAGGAGCAGATATCTGCCTGCCGCCTGTGGAGGACCCACACTGGAGCATGTAGATACACCCAAAAGAAGCTGGGAAGCTGAGAAGAGTCCGTGCTGGAGCAGGTGCCTGGCAGGACTACTGACTGCGAGGACCCACTCTAGAGCAGTAAATGACAACTGCAGTCTATGGATAGTACTCATGTTGGATACATTTGTGAAGGACTGTCTTCCATGGTTGAGACCCTATACTGAAGCACAGGAACAGCATGAGGTGGCAGTGGAAGAAGCAAGGCATAATAAACTGACCATAGACCCTATTCCCCCCTGCACTGCTTGGGGGGAGGAAGTAGAGAAGATCAGACTGAAGTTAGGCCCAGGAAGAAGGGTGGGGCAGAGGTGTTTTAAGGTTTGCTGCTATTTCTCACCATGCTACTGTGATGTAATTGGTAATAATTTCCCCAAGTTGAGGCTCTTTTGCCTATGATAGTACTTGGTGAGTAATCCCCCTGTCCTTCTCTTCACTCGAGAGGCTTTTATCATTTTTTCTCTGCCCTGTCAAGCTGAGGAGGTGGAGTAATAGAGCAGCTGGGTGGGCACCTACCAGCCAGCCAAGGTTAACCCACCACACTCCTATGTTCTTTTTTAGATTCCCCCCAAATAATGCACCAGGATGCTGTACAGACCTTCATAGTTCAGCTTCTTCATTTGGTCCTCTAGTTTTTCTTTTGCTTTTCTGACAACTTCAAGTGCTCCTTGGTCTTTCTTGTAGTTACCATCCATCTTTTTAACATCAGCTTGTTTTTTCTTTAATTCTTGTTGTGCATAATTCAACTTCATTTGAGCCTGTAGGAGCAAGAAAATACAGAAAGAGAAAATGTTCAAAGATGTTCTGCAAGTGCAGATTTACATTTGTACTAGCAAGGTGCTCATATAACTTGTACAATTTCCACTGGTTCCAGAAATACCCAAACACAGCCTTGGCTTTTCGAAGTAAGAGCACAGGTGACTTGGAAATAAAACCATAAATTATGTATTTGGGTACAATAACTCATAGTAGCACATGAATAGAGTCTGGGAAGAAAAAAGGTAAAATAACAAGGAACACAGCTGTCCGTTTTATTTTCCCCAAAAGAGCTTTTTTTCAGATGAATGAGCAAGGAGCACTTTCCACTTTGAAAAGGTAGCTTCCATGTGAGAACTACCCCAGCAGTTTTCCTATCTTAAGACAAAAGAAGTGGCGTGTTTCAGTCATGTGACTATCACACAATTTAACTGAGGAAAAAACAGTTTCTTCTCAATTCTTCTCCATTCACAGTTTCAGGCATCTTTATGTAGATCTCATTAAGTTTTACTGTACAAATCCCTATAATATGAATGCATATCATGGACAGCCATCTTAATTTCTTCCTATCCAATATCATCAGTCATTGGGAGTACTTTGAGTCCTACTTTATGTCTCAAATGCCAGATTCTAAACTTCCTCACAGCAATGTTAAAGCTCTTCTGTATTTCTTTACATCTATGCAAATATAACGTTATTTTTTAATGACCTGTTTTATCAAAAAGTCACCTTAACACATCTGCCAACTTGTAAAATACCTTGCATAGCTGTTCTGCAAATCTTTTCACTGACCTTTCAAGAGTGTGTCATATGGTTCTCAGAAGAAGCAGGAAGGTTGGTCTGAGAAAGGCAAAGCTTTTATTCTTACCTGTTTGGCCTCTGTGACTGCTTTGCTGATTTCATTTTTGCAGGTCATCATTTGTCCAGCAAGAGTAGCTTCTTCCCCATCATCATTGCTGGACAAGCCAGCAGACAAAGCATTAAAATGCTGTTGTGCTGCAGTTAAAACAGCTGCATCTTTTTCACTTGCTTCCTGTAAAGCTTTTAGTTCTTCCTCCATCTTCTTTACTTCTTTCTCTTTTGACACTAATGCCTTAGAATCCTTCAGCAAAACAAAGAACAAAAGCCAAAACAAAGAAGAGAGAATCTGAGTCCCATTAACTTTAAATTCACGTTGTTTAGATGAGGAGCTATGAGTAGTTTCATCAGCTACATTTCTATGACCCTTTGTGAGATTTTGTGATCCTACAATTTGTCTTTGCGAATTTCAACTTGCCCCATGAGTGTGCACTGAAGATCTACAAAAGATGGAATATGGGAAGAGATTACAACTGCCCAAGAACTAGGAGAAATAGTTCTTTCTTCCCAGTATCTTAAATGTAAATTATTCTTCAGTGCTCCTCTTGCATAAAGAAACCATCAACTGTCACAATTATGCAAAGCAGAATTTCTTCTTTAATTTTAATAGTATATTAAATACTTTTTAAAGCTAGAGAGCATAATACCTTTTAAAGCTAGAAGGAATCTCTCCTGAGCTTAGCAGAAGTTTGGCAACCATAAAGAGTAGAACTTCCTTCATGTATGCATCACATTTGTTTCTAATAGGAACCTAGTACCTCTGCCAAACTGAACAATGCCCTTACCATTTGTTTCTGCTTTCCTGATATAATTCTTGCCAATCAAAGGATTTTTCTTACCATAACAGGTAAGAAAAAAAGCTGACCCTCTCAATCTGAATTAATTTAGTGTTTAAAGAAAATGGTATTAAAAGGTCTTACCTCCTGCATACTTTTTACCAGTTCTTCATACTTATTCTCTTCAATTTTCAAGTTTTGCTTCTTGAGATCAAGGGCACTTTGTGCTTTAGTATTAACTCTCTGAATTTCTGAAAGTGCATCTTCCAGTGAACGGAGTGTACCATGCACTTCCTACAATCAGAAAGAAAGGAAATTTAATTTAGCCTAAGAAAATGGTACAGTATTTGTAATATTTTTCTTCACAATCACATGTAGAAAATATAATTATCTAATCTAGCAGGCAGTTAGACTCCAATGCAAACAGATGAGAACATCACTTCCTGCTCAAATCCAAACTAACTTGAAGCCACTTCTGAAGCCCCAAGCCATCCCATATCGTGGGACACCGTCTCTGTACAAAAGCTGCATTTAGGCATTCAAGGAACCTGTGGTCCATCCTGTATTTAACCAGATTTACTGTTCCCAAAACCAAGGTCAGTACTGACTTTTGTTGAACAGGAGTTTTCTACTTGAAGTCTATTTTTTTGGAGGCATTAGCAAAAAGGGAGGAAAGAACCCATCTCTGGCAAAACTTCTAATTTCATGCACAGAGTAGTAACAGCAGGGTAAACAGTTTCTATTCTTCAGTTATTACTCCTTTACGGTGACTGGAAACAAAGAATTTTGAAAAAAATGAAAACTTTCAATGAATGTCTTAGGCAATGGCTAAGAATGACAATGTATAATTTAAACAGCCCAACAAAAGAAGATAAAAATTCAAAGGTGTATTATCTGTAAAAATAATTTCCTTCTCATAAAATTCCTTGTATTCAGAAGTTCACAAGTATGAATCTGTGCTGACTTACCTTATCCTTTTCCTTTTCCAGCTCTGCTATTTCTTCATTAAGTTGTTTCACTTTATTTTCATTTTCTGCCCTTGATTCACAAAGCTTCTCTAAATTAGCCTGCATTTCCCTTGATACTTCAGCAGAGGACACCTTTGTCTCCTCAGCCAGAAAAAACTGGTAAGCTATACAGAGGTGGCTTAAATGTTCTATTGCCCGTACTACTTTCTGGTATTCTAGAAAAGATGATCGATCCTGAAATGACAAATTTAAATTAAAAACTCAAAAATTTGATGGAAAAAAAATATAAAGTAGGACTGTTACGGACATTTTCTAAGAACTTCTAACATTATTGTTTGTGGATAAGGAAGGATTTTCCATGCTAAGTAATATATTTGGTATTGTACACTGCAAGCCTCCATAGGAAAATCTTAGATAAAAACTTCTACAATTAATTATACAGCAGAAATATTACTTGACACAAGGTGGGTATTTTTTAGAACTAAGGTATGTATTTATCTTCTATTTATATCTAGTTTTTTTTCTTCTCCTTACATTCCCCCCTAGGATTTCCTGGAACTCCTGAATGACACATTTTCTGTATTTCAGAGAACTGTATCATAGAAACATAGAATGGGTTGGGTTGGAAGCGACCTTAAAGATCATCAGGTTCCAACCTCCCTGCATCAGCAGGGACTCCTCCCACTAGACTAGGTTGCTCCAAGCCCCATCCAACCTAGCCTTGAACACTTTCAGGGAGGGGACTTCCACAACCACCCTGGGCAACTTATGCCAGTGTACCACTACCCTCATGGTGAAAAAAAAATTTCTCCTTTAAAAGATTCTACAAAGCTTGAAACCATGATATTGTTTCAGCCACCATGTACAAATTCTGAGTAGCTGAAAGTATTTTTTCAGTACTTTAAGGGTCCTGTCACTCTACTTTTTCCATACCTCTATCAGTTTCTGTAAAGTTGGAGTGATCTCTTCATCCAAGACCTGAAAACACCAAATAGAATATTTATATAAAGATTTCTTAAAGTCTCACACTTCTAAGGATAAATACCTAGTTCTAGGTGCAGAAATGAAATACTCTACAAGCTAAGGACCACACAACACATTCACATTCAGTTGTATTTAATAAGTATAAAAGAAGCTATACTTTCCAACTTGTAGTACCGTTTGAATTTCTCTTAGTTTGGCTTCCTTCTTCTCTATGGTTTTCTGGACAGCTGTTTTCTTGCATTCATACATCCTAGTACCAGCTGCTTCTTCAATCATAGCTAAAATCTAAAATAAAGCAATGCCACAAAAATTGTATGTTCCCATTATGCTGTTGGATAGGTTCAACACAGAACGGAGTTCCCTCATATACCTTTTTCTCCCCACTCCTTGCCCCAATATTTATTTCTGTTATTCAAAACAAATCTGTAAAACTTCAGACAAAAAACTCCCACAACTTTCGTACCTCTGGTGGCTTCATATTTAGAATTTTGGTAATTCGTCCCTGGAGACAGAAAGATGAAAAAAGAACAGTCATTGTGTACCTTGCAGTACTAAAAAACCAAATAAAACCAAAACTCCTAACCCAAAACCACCCACTTATTTCTATATTTTTTATGATAAGCTCAAACATTTTTTTTTTATTTTTTTGGCTAATCTATTTTACTCAATTGTTGTTAGTCACTTTTTCAGGGAGTAAGCTTGAAATGGCCCCTATATCTTAAGCTCACCCTCCACATTCCTAATTACACCTTGAAAGAGTATTGTGTGCATTTTGTTCTAGTCTTACCAGGTCGCTGATGTTGAATAAGCTCTTGATCAGAAACCAGCTTTTTTTGAGATTTAGCTCATGTGTAACTAGGGGAAAGAAGAGTATGTGCAAAATTGCCATTCTCTTCCTACCCTGCAATCTGGGACAGTTTCATTTGAACTGTAAATGCTGGTCTGATTTATGATTCCTTGCAAACACTTCAGGAACTTGTCTAGCCCCTCTGTTGATGTTTATTCTCTATTGGTTAGCTCTATCCTTTGTTAATTGTGACTTAAGAAAGCAGGTATATCAACTTTATTCAAAATTCTGTCTAATTTGGAACACACATAATAGGAAAGAAAATATCTGGGGGTTTTGTTTAGCGTAATACTAAAAGCAACACCTATGTTAAAGGGAAAGAGGGAAATAAAATAGGAATTTGTTTTAGAAAACCTTTGATACATGCGTTTTAGGGTCAAACTATGCTGTGATGAAAAACCTAACTATTAATTTAAGAAGTTGCTTTCCTCTAATTAGGAAATCACATGTTCTCCCACTATGTATCCTGCTTCATGTTTAGTGCAACTTCATAGAAAGTTTTGGGTTGGAAGGAACCTGTTAAAGATAATCTAATTCCAACTGCCTGCATGGGCTAGGACACCTGCCACTAGACCACATTGCTCCACGTCCCATCCAACTTGAACTTGAACACTTCCAGGGAGTGAGCATCCAAAGCATCTATTCTTTTTGGATTTTATAAAGATGTGCACAATACCTGCATGATGAGGAAGTGAGGGTTATTGACATTGAGTCCAACAGAACAGAAGAGATCCTGCACACGACTATTGGTAGCATTCACACCGTTGATAAGATACTTATTTCTACCTCCAATGACAATCTGGAGAAGGAAAAGAAACAGAAGAAACAACTTTAGGTGATTAGAAATAGACCTGACAGCATAACATAAACTACAGTAAAGAAAAAAAATATCTGAGCAAATCCCATGTATTGTATCTTTGCATACACGTACATATGCATACTATATAGAATATCAAATATTTGGTGTGAAGAGACACTTAAAATACCTAAATAAAACATAAGATCAGTCAGAGGGCAATATTGACAAGAAAATTTCAGAACTCCACAACCTGTTACATTTTATTTTTTTAAGGGGGGAAAAATCTTTATCGGAAAGATAAAAGTTCCTTTGTTCTTGGAGACCTAATATCTCACAGTTCAAACATCAAGAGGAAAATATGCAAGCAGAAGAAAAAGCCACAAAACAGAAAATTATTACTTGCTTTAGGAACATTATTTCATTATTATTATGTTTCTGTTCAAGTCTGTAGAAAATGTTATTGATATAATACATTTAACAACATTAATTTTTCAAGTAATTAATTTTTTTTTCTAGGGTTTGTGTTACTAACTACACTGTAGAAGTGTTGCCTCAGTTGCAAAAACTCAGACATTAAAAACTGGGGGGGGTTTCCCCTCAAAAAGTGACTCTGTTGAGCATGATAAAAATCTATGTAGGCTGCTGAGCAATTTAGATATTAAAAACTCACCTGCCTAGTGATGGTGATCTCATCATTAGCTTCAAAACCGAGAGGGCTCATTTTCTTGTCAGAATTATCAAAGGTAATAGACACAGATGCTCTAGTAATTCCAGCCTGCCCATTCTTATAAACTAGGTCATGCAAGTTGGAAGCTCTAACCTAAATCCATGGAACAGATAAATACATTTTTAAAAGAAATTCATTACACAGCTTCAGTGCCCTATGTTTTTGAGAAAAGGATGAAAAAAATGCAGATCTAGCTGTACACTTGAAGAATTCCTGTGGAATTTCTCTACAATTACATGGTTGGGGAGGCACCCACCAAAAAAATCTCTGAAGACAGATTCAAACTAATGTCACAGTATACATTTTTTTGTGTGTAACAGCAAGGTGATATATCATCTATTAAATACCAGGCATTGTACAAAAAGCAGCTTCTTTTTTTTTTCTGATGTTGGCCAAATGTTAAGACCCAATCACAAAGTGAAGAGGTTTATTACAAATAAACAGGTTAGTACCTTTAGCTGCAAAATATCTCCAACTTAATGCTGTTACCTTTTGAGTATTTTCAGTTTAACATTCAAAAATGCATACTTTGAGCTACTGTAGTATACTGATGAAACTGTAATTCAATCTTAATGTAAAAATCAGCAAGAATGGCAGAGACCCAGTTTTATGTAATGAAAAATCCCAATAAATTATTTTTTTGATAGAAGGACCCATTTGGGTGCTTCAAGAGAGTAACATGAAATGTTGCTGACAGAAGAATAAATGCACCCTCTCTCTTTACCTGTGTCAGATTGGTGATTCCCAACAGGAAACAGATTGAGTCCAAGATATTAGACTTGCCACTACCATTCAAACCAGTAATAGCATTGAACAATGGGTCAAAGTCACAAACTTCTGTCCTCTGAGCATAGGATTTAAAGCCTTCAAGGACAATTGATTTAATGTACATCTTCTCTATATCCCTCAAACACCAGGCAGTGCTGATGAACGAAGAAAGGTATCTGGATTAATCCTACATATTTCAAAAAAGAAGAAAAAGAAACAAATCATACTGCATGCTTAATAAACAGTTAAATGTGTGAGAAAATGGAAAAAACACGTCTCTTGCAATAAAAAGATTAGGCACATATAAATAAACAGAAAAATCTAAGTAGACCACAGATCCAGGAAGCATCCCAAGAATTACTTGCACTTCAGCTGTTTTCAAGCAACGCGAATTGGCACAAGGCTCATCACAACCCTGCTTTCTCACAAAGCTGGCCTTGAGACAGCGAGAGAAAGAGAAGGGCCCAGATCCCCAGCGGCCGGAGAGTCTCTCTTTTCAACCTGCAGCACCGCAGCCTCCTCAGCCCCACAGCACCGGAGGTCTGCCCTGACACCCAGGAACACAACAGCCCCGGCTCTGAGGCGCTGTCAGCACAGCCCCTGCC